GGCGGGAGGGGTGGGGGGCGGCCCGAGGGGGCGGGAGAGGGTCCGGCCCACGATGCGCCTGGGCTGAGACTGGTCCCGCTGGCGCAGGGTAGCAGGAAGCTCTCCACACACTCACCGGACCTGGGCTAGGACTGGGTCTCTGTAATGCTGTCTTCAAGGTCTGATATTCTATCTCTAGTTTTGTTTAAGCCAAAGGTTTAAATTAAGCGTTTCCCTGTGTCATTCTAGCTGCCTGCTGCGTCTGCAGCTTCACTGTAGCTCTCCCTGTGCTAAGTGCCCGTGCTGAAAGCAGGATTAGTTGGGACCTGCCTTGCTGACCTCATGGTATCCCCCAGAACTGTAACTATTGTGGCCTTCTCAGTGGCCCTTGAACTCTTCTTTGTTTTCATGGGGACTATCAAGTTGACCCCCAGGCTCAGCAAGGATGCCTACAGTGAGATGAAATGTGCTTACAAGAGCTATGTCAGAGCCCTTCCTCTGTTGAAGAAAATGAGCATTAATTCCATTCTTCTCCAAAAAAGCATTGGTGCCCTTGAAGTAACCTGTGGCATTGTTTTCACCCTTTTTCCTGGACATCCCAAAGATGTGGCCAACTTCTGCCTACTTTCACTGGTATTGGTTGTGCTATTCTTCCACCAGCTGGTTGGTGATCCTCTCAAGCACTATGCCCATGCTCTGGTGTTTGGAATTCTACTTACCTGCTGCCTGCTTATTGCCCAAAAGCCTGAAGATTGGTCTTCTGAGAAGAAGCCTTTGCCAGGAAATGCTGAGGAAGGTAAATGCAAAGTGAAGGTATCATAGGAAAGTGGAAGTGCAAAATGTGGATCTTCCAGGCATTTGCCTCTATGGTACCTGGGAAGATGTCAGTTCATGCTTTTAATTTGATTTATCTTAGGGAAAAACAGAAAACATAATCTGCAATCTAATTGGCTTGTGTACATCTATACTCCCAAATATTCTCCCCACATTGACATTTGTGAACCACCTTTAATTACTCTGGGGCAACACTCATATGTCTTGCTGCATGTATAAGTATATGGCTAGTATTGAAGTGTATTTGTGAGATGGACTCCAACAAGCATATGACCAAAATTATGTGTGGGAAAAATGAATATACCCACTGGGTGTGTGTATGCACACATATGTGTAGAAGGCTCTCCTCTTGAACAAATCCTTCACAGGTATCCTTCCCTTCATAAACTGAATCCAACAAAAGGTACAATAAAATAAACCTTCTGTAAAGAGAATCCTACTTCTGGTATAAAACACAGTACCTACTCCCATATGGGAAAGGGGATTTCTCTTTAGATGAAGCTGAAAACAGACTCACTACTTCAGGAAAGGACCTATTTGACTTGAAACTCTGAGTTATGTTTAAAATCAAGCTCTACTTCAACAGCTAAGTTTTCAACACTCTAGAGTTTAACTAAAATAAGGAATTCACCAGGCATGGTGGCACAAGCCTTTAATCCCAGCACTCTGGGAGATTGAGGCAGAATTGAAAGTTTCAGCCCAAACTGGGCAACCTGGTGACTTAGCTCAAAATAAACACATAAAAAAGGCTAATAATGAAACTCAGCATGAAGGCCCTGGGTTCAATTCTCAGTACCAAATAATAATAATAATAATAATAATAATAATAATAACCAAGGGATCAATGCAGCCAGCTAGTATAATTCAAGTGATAAAACAGGAAGTTTCACCACACCTGTATCCAGGCCAACTTACTCAGCTCTTTTACTAAAACTAATTTGAAGCTAAAGTAGTAGATCTGTTTCCAAACATCTTCAGGTTTTCTTAAGGCTAAGACTGTCTCACTTGCACTATTCTCAGTAGCTAATCAGGATTTGGCAGCTGCCCCACTATTGAGGGAGTAAGGGCTGGTCCTGACAGAAGCCTGAATCTCAAAACACTAGCTGCTCTAATAAACCATCGGCAACTTAACAGATGAGCTGTATACAGTGTTTCCTTGACAGATTCACTACTTCTATTGATTATTCACTGAACTTTGCTAGTGTAAGCAGAGTTCAAATCACTCTCGTTGTTGTCTCTGCTCCACCTTTTTATGATTCCATTCCCATGTGTGGAGTTTAGCTGGGGGAAGGACATTTGACATGGGTTAGTTGGGTTGAGCAGTATGGAAATATGTTTTTTCATTACATACTGCTGTTTCTCCTTGTTAAATATGCTTCGATGGTTTTTAAATTATTGTGTCCAAGATGGGGGAAGTGATGGAGGCTATGTGTGGGGAGAGTACTTGTTGTATTTTCTTCGCTATAATTGTTCTTGGTAATTGATATTTCTCTCATCTGTTTAAAATAAAATTTTTTGAAATTTGGAAAAAAAATTGAGCGTTGATTTTCCTGGATATCTCTATCAATGTGTTTCATGCATTCTGATTGTTTTTCTATTGTTCACTCAACTTTTTAAATCATTTTTCTATGCTTTTTTATTTTTTATTTATTCATCTTTAAATATGCTGAGCAATTCTTTCATTATTGTTGTCATTTCTTTTTTTTTACATGAGATTATTTCTGATTTGATTTCTTTTATAGCCTGATGGAGTTCTTTCTTTACTTCAGTTGCTAGCATTTCAGAAATTTCACAGGTGTGATTTCCAATTTCTTCTCTGTATATGTCTTCTGAATTTGTTCCAGGTGGCTGGAATCTGAGATTACATTTTGATACTTTGTTTTGATATTTCCTATTTCAAAAATTTTTAAAATTTTGTTTCATGTGGTGAACCTTGTGAGTGTAGGTGGTAGGAGCTATATCACTAATGTTAGGGCCTCTTTTCTTCAGGGCTATCTTCTGTGGTGTGAAGGATTTTCTTGTTTTGTGTCTGTCCCAAGATTCTCCCTTCTCAATTAACTGATAGTGGGATGCTGGTTTCTGTTTGGCTCATCCGCAGTTTGTTGATGTAGGGCTGTGGTTTAACCATCAACCTATAGCACTCAATATTGCTATACGAGAGGGAACAACTGATTACAACAGATATGACATCCTAACTGCAATAAAACAGGAGCATTAAACACAATTTAGAAACTGACAACTGTGGAAAGTATTCATTTTGACTTAATTTATTTATTTTGGTGGAACTAGGGATTGAACTCAGGCCCTTGCACTTGCCAGGCAATGACTTATTCTACTGAGCTATCTCCCTGGCCCCCCTTTTCACTTTAGACCACAGGAACAAAGTCTATCATTATAAAACAGAGGTCACAGTAAATTGGGAATTTGAGTGCAAAGTGTTTCTCCTTGTTAGAGGGCATTTACCCTGGGTGCATTGGAAAAGACAGTTGCTGCATCTTGGGTGCTTCCTGTGCTGGATGCCTGCACTGAAGTGTAGGAGTAGGGGCCAGGCACCAGTGTTTCTCTGGACAGAGGCTCCTTGTATGTCAGTAGGGCACTGCATAAGGTTCTCTCCTCCTGCAAGGTATGGTGGGGTGACAGTGGGTGGAGGTTACCCCCTCCCTAGCAGCTCAGTGAAGCTCCTGAGGCTCACTGAGGCTCAGTTTGGCTCCCGTGATAGTCCAAAATTGTTAATATCAGTAAAGTCTTCTTATTAATGTCTTTCCTTTTGTGAGATGTTAAATTTTTTCTTGTTTTGCACATAAATGGTTAGTTAGATGGTATTTGAGATACAGTGCATATTATGAGACCTGTGTGGGGAATGTTGACATCTTTGTTGGAATGTGTGTTTGACCTGGTGTGATTCAGTCAACCTCCCTTCCCCCAATCAGTGAGCAGCTCTAGGGTCCCTTCAGTTTTTAGAGGCTTTTGCTGTGCTATGTGGAGTTACTTCACACTGGCAGAACCTAGTGGAGAACTTGGTTCTGTGTGACAGTCAACCCTGTTACCAAGGATTTTAATAAACTGTTTGTGCATTATTAAACATCTCATTCATCTTTGGCTTGAGGATGAGCCCAGCAGCTCACAGTCAATTTTCTGGGATTAATTTCTTGAGCTCGCTTCTCATAGGCATCTTCTCAACACTTTTCTTCTTGTGTTCTGCCTCCTGGCCTGGTTCTTCAAGGAGAAATGAAGTCTTTTTTTCCCCTCATTCTATTTATCACATTCTGTGGATGTTTTTGACTCTGCTACTTAACAAGGAGAGCAGACAGAGCAGATAAATAAAGGGAGAAGTCCCACCAAACCCACGTTCTTGGTGCCACAGTTCCCTGGTCAGAAGGACACTGCCGTTGCAGCCTAGTTTTACTGTCTGCCTGGCCTCTGCTATCATGGGCTGATGTAAGAAAATTGTCTCACTCTCTTGGACCAATAGAGATCCCTCCTCCCACTCTCTGTATCTTAGTACAGAAATAGAAGACTTCTGTTGGAGCTCTTTCTGTCAGCACTGATGGAAACCTCTGGCATTCAGGCTACCTTCAACTCAGGTTAGAAGAGAAAAAAAAAATAAACTGTAGTACACTTTCAGTAGTACTCAAGATTTCCTTATTTTCATTCTTCAGCTCACTTGTTATCCTCTTTTTCAGAGCCAGGGTGGACATTCTTACCCTATTGCAGTTTTTCATTGCTGTGACAAAGTAGCCTAGAGAAATGACTTAAAGGAAGAAAGATTTCTTTTGTCTCAAGGTTTTGGTCTATGATCAGCCTTTTAGGCCTGAAGTGAGGCAGAGCATCATGGTGGCAGAAGGCTGTGGTGGAGTGAAGATGTTCAGCTCATGGTCACTGGGAAACAGATCAAGCCAGAGACCCAGAGAGCCTGTGCTCGCTGGCTTTTTCCTTTTTCACACTACACCCTCTACTCTGTTGGATGCTACTGTCTGCATTCAGGGCATGTCTCTCTCATTACTTTGCTGTCTTACATGCCAGGTGTCTCTGGAAGGATCTCACAGATATCCCCAAAAGTATGCCTTAGTAACATCCTAGTTAGAGTTCACTAGATAAATGGGTATAATAGAATACAATAAAGTATTATAAAGTATAATATAGTATAATATGATATAATATAATAAATAAAAGATAGCTATATAATGATTTTTCTAAGGAGGCTTACAATGGTCACCTGTAGAATAGGGGGTGGAAAAATACAAACTGCCATCTTAATGGTGGAGAGCTGGAGGATCCAGTTAGAGGTTAAAGGTTCGGGCTTGCTTCAGAGTCTGGTACAAGTCTCCATTGAAAAGCTAAAAGGGCTATTCCTGAGGAAAACAGACAAATGTCCTCAAGGTGACATGGAAGACCCAAGTTCTTCTACAGAAGCAAAAGGGAAGGCTTCTTTCTTTCTTTTTATTCTAACCAGGCTACAAGACTATTGATTGGTATCATCCACATCTGGAGTTTGCCTCCTATTGTGACCTGCATGTCAGTCACCTACAGACCTTAGGACTGTGCTGCACTAGTTCCTTTGTTCTTATAATCCATCTGAGTTGACATGTCGGGATTAAGAGTCACAGTGCTTCTCAGTACAACCAAGTTGACAATTGAGATTAACTATCATAAACTGGAAGTGGAATGCAGACCCTTAAATATTTAAAGTTTTATTTTGAAAAATTAAAAAAATAGAATTTTATAGATATCAGTAAAATGAAACTCCACGTACAGATTAACAAGCTTTGTTATGTTGGCTGTTCTACATAATGTTTGAATATGGTAATTTGCTTTAATCTTACTGCCCTTCATTTAATGACAAATTGAACTATTTTAGGCAAAATCAATACACAGTATCATTTTCTACACAAATATTTCATTATATATGTTTAAATTATATAGTGCTTAAAAACACATAATCAGAATACTAACAGGATTTAATTAAATAGTCTCAGTTGTAAGCTTTT